TATAGTTAGTGATTACCTAGTGATGGAAATTTGGTCAATATGACCATATTCATTTTTCATGACATGAAAATTGGTCATAATCATTATTGAAAATTTAAGAAAAACAATAATATTGATGATGATGTGATGTTCTCCTAGCCGATTCCGGCCACGGCGGCCAATCTCAATGAGATTAGCCAACTGCGCAGGAGATATTATAGTGCTCAAGTGTACGCGCAGACACAAGTGCACTCTCTATTCCTATCACTCTCATACTCCGGTTGGACGACCACTCGACACGACCGGTGATAGTTAAGGCGCAGGACCGACAGCTTTACGTGCTCTCCGAGGCACGGGGGTGAAACACCGCCAACTTCCCAACTCCGGGCTGTTACTGAGACTTACTATACAGGAAGACTCAATAACTAAACTTGGCAAGACCCGGGACTCGAACCCAGGACCTCCGGGTGTGCAGCCGTACATGCTAGCCACTACACCACCGAGGCAGTTAAACAATAATATTATGTATATTATCATGTTATCCATATTCTACGAACATCTTCTTTAGTGGTTACTAATGTTGTGGGCGTAATCAGGGCTTAAAATATAATAAAGAATGCAACGTTCATAATAATTCACAATGTTATACACTTGAAATGGCAATTCTAATAATTTAAGTGAGGAGCGGGTTCTGGGACGTTTATTTTATTTAATTTATTTATTTATTGATCGTCTACTTCCAACTATATTACTCTCTATGATCTACCAACGTTAGTAAGTCAACTTATCTCTAATGAATGTCATGATGGCATCTAGACGTTGCTCTGTTCGATATTCAAATTAATTCTGAATAAAAACTAAACTACATAACATAGTGACTATAAAAAATAATAAGGTTTTATAACAAAAAAAGATAAGTAAATCCTCCTCCGATATGTACCTATATGAATAGAATTTACCTACCTGTATAAAAAAACCTAACCGTTTCTAATATTTTTTTATTGACAACACATAATTAGTTACTCGTCAATAACTACTAAATATTAAAAACAATATCGGTTGACAAACAGAGGAAAAAAGGTACGGGACGGGGTCTACTAAACTGTGTTTAATCCCCGACGCAAAAACATCCCTCATGTTATAAGTTTAACGCCAGTGTATCTGTGTGTCTGTCTGTGGCATCGTAGCGTTCAAACGGATAAACCGATTTAATTGTTTTTTGTTTGTTTGAAAGGTGTTCTTTACTATAAATTAAGAAAATCCGTTTTGCTGTTTCGAGGCCGTCAGCTCTTTTCGAGACGGTAAAAAGATATGAACAACTTCCATAGATATAATCTATTCGAAACTTAAGTATCCCGTTACTTCAATGTCATTCAATGATATGGTAACCTTGGCCTAATGCTGCAGCATCACCTGGAATCAGCAAGATACTCAAAGCATTATTGAAATACTGCAGAGATATCGTGTTTAGGCTCATTGAAATAGGAAAAGCTATAAAAACTTTTTATAATAAAACAGACTTCAAAAAATACAAAAAAGTAAAAATAACTGATTGGTAGTTTTTGTCTATACATAATATAATAAAATTGTAAGTAAGCCGAATCTGTACATTAAATATTTTTTGGAAAATCTTATTGAACTAGACTCTATTATCGATACAGAGGTTGAATCTATAGTTTTTATAATTTTTGTCTTTCTGTCTATCTGTTGCCGCATCACGAGAAAACCAGTGTATAGATTTTGATGAAATTTGGTATGATGATAGCTGGTTATCCGGGTCAACATATAGGATACTTTTTACTGCGTGAAAATGTATCATCTCTGAGAAATCTATACTAAGCGTTTTAACGCTTACTACAAAGACCTAATCAGATATTTTCGAAGTCGGTGTGCTTTGATCTGTATCGGCTGGCACTGACTTCGAAAATATCTGATTAGGGATCTATAGTAAATGAAAAGTAAGTCAAGTGAAGGTATAGTAATTTGGTATCTTCGATCTGATCTCATGAGGTGAGGCCAGAAGGTTAGTGAAACTCTTCAACGGCTACTAGTACATACTTTGAGTTTGGGCTTATTTAGTTTGATTTGAAAAGCCCAATACGTTAGAATTCGATTTAATGGCCTGATTTTAGTGACTTCCAAAAAAGAGGTATGTTGACAGATTTCTTGGAGGTTACATGATTTTTTTCTTCAAACTGTATTCTATTAAAGTAAGTCCCGAGGTAGTCCCGTAAATATTTCTGTAATATTATGTGATATTGACTTTACCGTGTTCGAGAAAATTTTAAATTCAATTCTATTTTTTTGTTCAATGGCTTCTAGGAGTGCAAAAAAATATATATTAAAAAAACTTGACATTTGAAATAATTTTGTTAATAGAGCTAAATAGTCTGCTTTACCTACTTATAATTTTCATATTGAGTATATATTTGGCAAGCCTTTATATTTCTGATAGTAATACTTGGTATCATCAAGCAGATCTGATGGTGAGGTCAAAAGGTCAATAGTGGAACTTTTCAACGGATACAGTAGTAGGTAAATAATTCGTGTTTGGGCTTATTTGATTCTATTTGACAAACCTAATACGTTGAATTTTAGTGTTGTACTCTTTATATAAAATACTTTCTTTTAACAGATTTGTAAAAAGAAGATATATTGGTAATGAGTATTAATTAATTAAAGACTTTGTAATATATCTTAAGCTGTATGACTGATTCTCAGCTGGCACAAAATGTTACTACTTTTGGATAGTTTAAAATACTCGTCGATTTGGGTGGCTACCAGAATTTGGTGTAAGGAATAACCACTGTCTTATAGAAACAATAGAAGAGAAGAAAGAAGGTAGTACCTACAAGATGAGTGGAATATAACAAAATAAATAAGGATCAAAATAAATACCTACTTCGTGACATATTAAGTTATAAGTATTACAATGAATAGGTTATTGGAAAAGTACTGAAAGGTCAAATATAAATATATGAGCACCTAACGATCGATAATGCCCAGGCACCAGCGCAACTCCCACATTTTCTAGCTGTCCCGTTTATTTTTGAAAACTCTATATGAAATAGCAATACCGAGCATGATAAAGACAGATGCACCTGTATTGCAATTTGCATGAAGGCAATAGGAGATTGATCAAATTCAACATTGCATTCATCTGAAACATTAGTGCGATAAGAGAGCGAAATCGTTTCGATATTACTTATGCCTTATCTTATATATTTTTACATATTAAACTGTCCCTTAGTCTAGTGGCTAGCATATGTGGTTGCAGATCATGAGGTCAAACCAGCCATTACTTGTTACTGAATTTTCCTAATAAATAATAGTTTGATATCAGTCTGGGGTTTTATGGTAGTATAAGAAATGGTGAGTACACATAACGTTGTGCAAAATTTTTAAAATAAATAATATTCCCCGTGTGAATGGCGTGACTGGTCGGTGACCACCGTGACAATTATGACACTTTTTCTTATGAAGAAGGCTTTCTTACAATACATTAGGAGTGCAGCCGCAATAGTACATTTTTTAAAATAAAATTTTACTTAATATTATTTTATACTACTCTGGGTTACCTGAAGCCATACTTAATTTTTGCTTATCTGCGACCTAAATAAGTCATTTTTACACCGTGTAATAACGAATCTACACATGTCACAGGAATATGAGTGTGTTTGGATGTGATTTGATAGTACAAAATAAATATTCCAATATATGTATTTATAATTGATAACTTTCTATATCTGAATTATCATCTTCGATTAAGTTAAAAATATTGTCATCCAAATTAAATCCCAAAGTCAGTGATCGATTTCTACAAAAATAAAAAAGATCGGTCGAGCGAAGTTCTTTTTGCTGTCTGCCCTTGGCTCTTACACATTGTCACGAGTACCAGGCTAGCATAGACATTGAGCAACGTATATACATTGAACATGTTGAAGCTTATCGAAGAAATAGAGTGCACACGAATTTATTAGAACATACACTCCTCAACACTTATGATCGCCTGGTGCTTTTGTCACAAGTGCTAGAGGACAACGATCCTCTAGGAGTGTTCATACATACACATAATATGTATGTAGGGCCAAAAAGGTCAAAGTGAGTCCTGGTATTTGACGACGTCACATGAGATGCTCTTAGTAAATAATAAAGCCCTTTCGTTATATTACCTTTTTCATTATGTGACGATTTCTACCTGTCAAGTCCTTTTTTAATGTTGGGAAATGAATCTATGCATACCACCTGTATACATACTGGTTCCTATATGAGACTCACTGGCCAGAAAATCCAGTACTATACGCTAAACCCAATAGAACCTACCCCGTCTTAATAGGGCGTCACAGGATCGCTTACACACTCAACCACGACGCCCCGACGGCAGGTCTGCTGAAGTAAGCCATACAACCAAGGAGCTGCTCCCACGGTCTACTTTGCTCTCATAGAAGTACCAGGAGCAAACCGCATGTACACCGCCCATCGAAGCGTGCTACCTCCCTGTGTATCTCTTGACTTCGCGCCCGACTGTGTAGCTGGATGCTAATCAGACCAATCACGACAACACCTTTCAACTCCCACCGTAAGCCACTTTAAAGATCTTCATTACAAAAAAAAACTGCAGCAGCAAATGGAAGCAAATAAAAATGTTACATATTTGTATCACTAGATAATGTTAATATAAAATCGATCGGTTAATGATTTATCGAAAACTAATAACAATCTAATGGCACAACCAACTTAAAACTTTAGATAAATAAAATAAGATTTATTTTAATGTGAGTTATCACACAACATAATATGTACCTTTCTAAAATCGCTTAGGAGAAAAACATACGAACAAATCAAAGTAAAAATTTCTAACATCTATAGATACAGCCCGACAAAAAAGTTTTAAAACATAATATAGTCATGACATAAAACCATAAATTATTATAAAATCAGAAACTTTCCACTTTTATAGGCAATAAATGTAAAAGTTAAGTTAAATTCAGAATACACCTGCGTAGTTTCATCCAGGGCGCATGCGCTTAACCATTGATCCCCTGAAAAGTTCCACTGAGGCTCATTCCGCTGGTGATAATCTACCGGTGAGTACATTTATAGAAAAAATAGTGTCCCAGTTCTAAAACTAGTCAGTTTAAAACAAGTGCATGTACCTTGCCGTGGCGTTGATCATTATTATAGCAAGTTTGGTCAGACTGCAAGTAAGTCAGATTTTGTATATTTTGAGAATGGATGCTTTTTTCTATTTCTCCAACACAATTTCTGCTCTATGTAAGTAAATGTTTAATGTTATTATATATTGCTTTGCTGGCGTTATTCTATACTTATTATTTAATTTGTTTTTTTTTCTGGCATTTGTCAAGGTGACCCTTGCCACGTCGCCATCACGTCACGGCTTTTTCTATGACGCACCCTGCCTTATTTGAAAAAGTAAGAGCTTCTATTATTTTCTTTAAGTTAGATTGTATGATCTGTTTAGATACCTCAAAATTTCATATACATATTTGTTATTATCTGTCTATCTGTGTATCAATGTGTGTCCGTTTTGTCTTTTATACTTAAAATTGTTTTTTAATATACCTAGTAGGTAATGCGTATTGCGTAATTATCACATAATTATCTTGCTGAACTGTTGATCTATACATAGTATAATATGTATGGAAAATTTGTGTTATTTTTAGTAACAGCAGGGGTGCAACAGGTTTGAGCCTGCGCAATGGTTACTTTAGCGTTACTTATGTTTTCTTATATATATTAATATATAGGATAATCGTCCATGCCTATTATTCAAATTCTAACTTATGATTATTTATAAAGAAATATAAATAAATATTTCGGGAAAAAAATGTTAACTTAGCAATATAATTTTTATACGGATCGATCCCAGTAAGCTAATTGCGATTTTTATCACAGAGTTTAATTGCGTAGAAACACTGATGTTATCGATATTTGTTGGTAAAAATCGATATTTTGTAAACGACTTGGTATCGAGTTGTAATCGACTTGCATTCGTTAAAATAGTGACATATCGGAGGTGCAAGACCTGCGCGTTGCATCCTGAAGTATTGATGTTGTAGATATAACTTTGACCTTTGCCTGGGACTTACAGGAACAAAGAGCTTCGCTATTACGCAATAGATAAATTATTGTAAAGCGAATTATTGTATAACGCAAATTAATTTAACTATTTAAAAATTATTTTATTATTTTAAATATCTTTAATATTTTTTTAATACAAATTGGCCTTTGTATTTGCAGCCAGCGATCTAAATTGAAATTTTTAAACTATTTTTCAATCTTAATATCAAACATTACATTAAGGCAAAATGTTATTATTACAACGAGACCTTTTACGTGTACATTTGTATTAGTTGTTATCCCGGTACTTTTCCATGAATATTTAGAAACAACAATTACCATAGGTATAATTTTCGTAACAACCATTTGTTTCATTCAATTTTATGCTTTTACTAAGTTCAGTGTTTATTATTATTTATTTAACATATAACACTTAGTTTCTAAATAATATTGTTCTAAGCAGACCGACAGCATTCACATGATACAATAATATTATATGTGTATTACTTACATATTATATATTATGTATATTATTCAGGCCGGGGTTATTTAGACCCCGTCCCCCGAACCCTGTGACCTTTAGATGCATCTCGAATCTCGATGCGCTGAGTATTGATTTATGAGCTTCATATAAATCCCGGGAGGGGTGGCACATACCCCCCCCCCTTCGTTACCTCCCCGTGCCCCACTTCCCTCACTTAATTCCAAGGATGACCGACGCAGTTGCGTCCAGTGCAATATCGATTTATATGGTCAACGCCTATGAATACTTCATTGCAACTTGCAAGCACCTACGTAATTCATTAAATATTTCAGACTTTTACAAACTTTGAAATTATTTAAGACCTATAATAATTGTTGAACTATTGATTCCATAATAAATTAACCGTTATTATGTCATAACTTTAAATATTTTCGAAGTAATTGTACACGCCAGTTAAATTACATCACGATTCAGGAAATAAATTTATAGATCTTTAATTATAATACGTGTAAGAAATTAATATCGCATAAACAAAAACAATGAAATATATTTATAAGCATGTAGCGTTGACAAGACTGCGTGAGCGGAGGACGCGTCGTCCGCCCACAGCCGGCGCCCGCGCAGGTGTTGCCCCACCACTAACGACATAGATGATAACTTTGTTATAAACATTGATATTTTGCTATGGTTTTTGCAAATTCCTAACAGTATAAATGTGAAAGTTTAAGAAAATACTTGACTCTATTTTTCTCGATGTGTTAGTTGAACGTATTTGGAATTTGTATGAAAGTTGGCAAGTTAAATGAAATCCATATGATATTTTAACGTATAGAGTAGGTACGTTTTATATAAGAACATTTAGTGCAAAAATTATACATTTAGAATGTCAACTCAATTTCTCCTGTTTGATCTATTAGAAAAAAGGAGGAGGCTAAATAAAAACTGGCTGCCTATCCAGTTTTTATATTTAGTTGTTTGTAATATTTCGTGGAAAAATAAAATATTTAAGGGAAATGATTTTTTAATGTAATTATTAGCTCATCTAACTCGTTTTGTTTTTTAAATTTTTTGGGGCTAACTTGATATTTGCATAAAAGTTTCAGATTTATGTTCTTTATAAGTGTTTGCTAGGTTGTCAAGAATAGCCTGAATTTTCAAAATGATTTACTTAAAATGCACTCACTTTACTAAACTTTTATAAGTTTGTTACATTTGTGTACAGTGAGTGCAAAAGTAATAAGTAAAGGGTTTTTTTCTAGATTTAAGGCGACTAGTGGGTATAGGCATGACACAATATTTTAATACACTAAAACGTTAACGCAATACAAACATCCAAATCAACAATTTAAAAAATATAAATAATTTAAGGAGAAACTAGTAAATACGACATTTTTTTTTCAAATAATTAAAAAATCTATAAAAAATGTCATTAGACAAATCTTGTTGCACACTATTTCTACCTATACATTAGAGGCTTTGTAAGTTCATAAAATAAAGTAGTATAAAAATAACGTGTGTGTGGACCTACTTATATACGCATGTAAGAAGTTATACTTCTTTGGAGTAACAGAACAAAATTAGCTAAAGATTTCGTCCCGTATGTCACAACTCTCTGTTTGTAAAAGGAATGCAGCTAACTTCATCATGTCGCTTTCAATAAACTTCACCATGTCGCTTTTTAGCTGTCGGTGTGCGCGCGCATCGTAAAAATTATACTCTCATATTTTTTCCAAACGTGCCAAAAAAAGTATAACTTCAAAAACAAATAAATATTTACATTTTAACGTATTTGATTATAGTATAATTGTAATATAAATAATAACAAATCCGAAAACATGCAGCTAAAATCTATTACACAGAAAATATTATGCTAATCTAAAATATTTTTTTAAAACATTACATAATAATACAATGCTTTATGTAATATTAAAGTTTAGTGTAGATTTTTTAGAGATGGGATATTTTCCCGCAATAAAAAGTAACCTTAATGTGTCCCGGATAATCAGCTATCATCATACGAATTTTCATCAAAATCTGTTTAATGGTTTTCTTGTGATGCATTCCGAGATAGACAAACAGACAGACAGACAAAAATTCTAAAAACTATAGATTCGGCCTATGTATCGATAATAATGACTATTTCAATAAGATTTTCCAAAATAATATATTAAATGTACACATTCGACTCAGAATTTTATTATATGTTACATAGATTAATTATGTAAGTGTAACTTAACTAACAAAATATTCTTTGACATAGAAAGTTTGAATGAACGCTTGTGAATGGACACAGCTATGCGATCACTTAGTTCGAACCGCTCAGACCGGTATGCTATCAGACTTAGTCTCATTCAACAAAATTATTTATTTATATAGGCAATCCAGACATGAGACAGATTCAAGTAATCTTATGCTATTATATATTAATCGTTATATACTAACTTGTTCGTCTGACTATATACGTGTTTTGCAATAATACATTTTTTGCATCTGTATAAAAATTTGAATGATTATAACAAGACCGATAATTTGTATCTTATTTTCTCTCTTCTTTACTGGGTGTACAATAAAGAATATTATTATTATAGTGCTTATACGATTAGGTATAGATTTGTAAATGAAATGAAATAAACTTTATTTGCACTTTTGAATCATCAAGTTAATTTAAGCGTCTGTGTAGTCAGTCCGTGAGGAAGCTACCACCGGCTCGGATACCAGTTCTTCTGAAAATAATAGCTGGCAAGAAACTCAACAATTGCTCTTTTAAATATCGAAGTAACACTTATTTTATTAACATTACAAGATAGATAGCTCGCATATGAGTCAATATTTCTAAATTCCATACAATTCCATCAAGAAGAAACTCTTGAACAGTGTAATATTTATAATATACTAGCGGCTCACCCTCGCTTCGCTCGGGGTCGTCGCTAGGTACGTTTTAAATAGATATAAATAGTTATTAGCCAGCGTTAGCCATATACATTTTAATTTTTTTTTGTTAATAATATTGACAAATATTGACATTAATATTTATACGATACTAACGTCACTCAATTGTTTTGCCTTTACGGAACCTCTCCACTAACACTTAAACTTTATGGTATGGTATTAAAGTGCAAATTGACTTTTAAGTATTATTACGAATCTTTTGTATGGGAGTATAGAATAGTGTTGTTTTTAGACTTTTCAGACTATTTTTTAATTTTTTCTCTCCATAAGAACCATTCTCGTACTTCAAGGAATATTCTAAAAAAAGAATCAGCGAAATCGGTTCAGCTGTTCTCGAGATTTGCGCTTACCAATACATTCAGCGATTCATTTTTATATTATAGAATAATTTTAATTGAAAGTACGAATTGTTTTAAGCCAAATTGTTAAATGACAGTTGAAATACATTTGAAGCCACAGTACGACTTAACAACATGTACCTACATATTTTGATTTTATAAAATTACAAATACCTTAGTAATTTAGTTTTTAAAGTGGCACAGGAAACACACGTTCAATTTCCTGGTCTTATAATGTATCTGACAATGAATTTCAATTTTTTAGTTTCGTAATTTACCTACACTAGTTCGAAAAGGAACGAAAGAGAAAATAGAAGAAAGTATCAACAAAGGGTCGCCTCTGTCTATATTCCGTGAAAAATAAACAGTGAAGCGTTTTTCTTTCGATACGAACTTAAATTGTTGCTACTACGAGTAATACGTAATATATCAGAATAGCTATCATATAGCAAGATAGCTATACACTTCTAAGCAATTATTCTACTATTAGGAACAATATTTTTAAACCTTACTGTATAAATATTAATAATAAAAATCAGTTTAAAGTTGAAATGATATCTCATAATATCCACAAAAATGTACTCTTATTGAGGTATCTGTTTATTTTTTAAGTCTGACAAAACGAATCATACTAATCGGACAGACGTGTTTTATTATGTATGTATGTATAATTTGCATTATCCATTGTAAAATTTAATAAAATGCTCTAAAGATTTTATAATAGTAGGTAGATTGTATTTTATTGGCAATTTACAAACACATTTTGAAATTTATAGCTCATAACGACCACGAGTCACTGCTTAAAATAACTAGTAATTTGAGCCCTAATTTAGCCGAACAAATCTGTTAATGACTAAATTTTACACCATACGATTAATCGTATCGACTAAATTTGCACATAGTAATAAAAATTTTAATTAATTTTTTTTTATACATCATTTTCCTTTAATTAAAATACTACCGATTTACCTACCCTCACTTAGTTTGGGTGCATCCCAAGATGACTAACAGTACTCATAGTGTGTACTAAATTTCATCCAACCGTACAGACGCTTTAATATGAAAGAGTAACAAACATACACAAACAAACTTAGACATTTATAATACCTAGTAGTGTGCTAAAACACCATGCATATCGTACCATGTAAATAAGATGCCAAATTTTATAGCTTACTTATGTTCAAATCGTCACCCATTGAAATGACCGACAGCCATTCACACCTCTTTTGATAGTACATTTTACCTATTTTGAAAAACAAACTTATTGATGATGTTTGTTTACGTTTTGTGATTTACAATTATTGTTGTTTGCATTATGATGTTTATGGGAAAGAGGCAACCCTCGTAATTATATTAGTTCTGGTATTCAGCCTATTTTTTAACGTCCCTTTTTCTGGGCACGGGCCTCCCTTCAATACGAGGAAGATCAGGTCATAGTCCACCACGCTGGACAAGTGCGGGTTGGCGGACTTCACATGTCTTTCGAAAACTTGCTAAATTCTCTCAGACAGGTGGTAGCTTCCTTTTTTTTCGCTGGGGACACCCATCATGGGGACCCTGCCGGCCGTCATAACGGGCAAGGTACTGTGAGACTCCTACTCACTAAAACCCACAGCGGATCCCGTCACCGCAGTGCAATGGGGCGTTGCAGGATCGCTTGCGCACACACTACAACACCCCTGCGGACGGCCCGTACCTCGCTGGCCAATCTCGCAGGTGGTAGCTTCCTAACGGACTGACTACACTGACATTTAGTTTTAATTTAAAATGTAAAATTGACGATTCAAAAGAGCTTATAAAAGTCTATTTGAATAAAGTATATTTTGATTTGATTTGATTTGAAAAAGACATGCAGGTTTCCTCACGATATTTTCTTTCACCTTAAGCAAGTGGTAATCATGTTAGAAATGAAAATATGTGAGGTTCTAGACCCAGGATTTGAACCGCCTTCACTCGGTTTCCCAAGCGAGCGCGTTACCACTGGGCTACCACTACCTCTTAATATTAGTATTTAGCTTAAACTTATTTTTTTATTTACGTAAACTCATTATTGCAACTACAATAGTATAATGACATCATATCATTTTGACGTAGACTGTGAAATCTAATAAAATTCTAACTAAATCGAATTTGTACTTTAAATATTTTTTGGTAAATCTTATTGTAATAGTCACTATTATAGATACAGTCTGTCTGTCTGAGAACGCATCAGGTGAAAATCACTGGACAGATTTTGATGTTTGGTATGATGATAGCCGGTTATCCGGGTCAACATGTAGAATACTTTTCATTGCGGGAAAATATCTCATCTCTGAGAAATCTAATAAACGTTAAAACTTACCCAGAGGTGAACCCAAGCGGAACGAGCGTGAGTCGCTAGTTAATAATATTTTTATTTTTTATATTATTTTTTATTATTTTTCTACCTCGTTTCATTGTTACCTCACAGATACATTGAACATTTGTATGGGAAATGCAAACCTTTATCTATGTCTGATATCGCGCCATGTATTTTACAATGTCGCCCTTTAATTAATAAATTCAAATTCAAATTTCAATATTTCAAAGGAAGCCGACGCCGAAACATAAGATAGCATCTTAATCGTTACGCCCACACGCGACATACAATAGATTCTAGTGTTTTTTATAAATAAAAACATCTTACAATAATGTTATGTCATGTTAACTTGTTCATTTGATTGATTTGCATTATATTCTGTTCGTTAAATTGATAAGGCTACATACAAACGAGGTTTTTTTAAACAATTTACGATTTTTTTTTAGTTTAACGAACAATATGTTAGCAATTTTAAAGGATATTACAGTTTCTTAAATTTAAATGTATATTTTTTTTAACAACTTCTGGATTATATTTTATTTAACTGTGTAATTATTCCTGAATTTTCATCGTTTATTAAAAAGTTAGTTTGAAAAGAGCCTAAATATTTTAAAACTGAACAATCGCTCATGGTAACAATGATGAGTAATTGCAAATTTTATATATTTTTTGCTACGTTTTTTGTCTTATTCACTGATGTTGTCGTAATGATTTTATTATGACAAATGCGTAATGTTTATTTCAGTCAATAACTTTGTAATTCAAGCGGTCAAATGAATAAAATATTTTTTCATAATATATTATTCAGAACGCCTACAAATACTTGTAGTAGTCTATATCGGCATATATTTGAAAAAGCTGAATATTTAGTTCCTTCTTGCTAACGCTGAAGACGTTACTCTGCCTTTTTCAGCCCCTATTTTCCTACGCCGCGACATACTCGTACATAAATACGTCCGTCTATGACTTCGCTCTCTCTTACCGTACTTTCTAATAGAGGTACATGGTGCACTTAGTATAGTAATTATTTCAGTATTAAGAATCGTATCGTGATGTTAAATTGCTTATAATTTTCCTTAATAAATCTATACTAATATTATAAAGAGGTAAAGCTTGTGAGTTTGTGACTTTGTGGGGGGTTATCTCTAGATCTACTGAACCGATTTAGATGAGGTAAGAAGATAGTTTGAGACCCTGGGAAGGATATAGGATACTTAGGATCTTTATCCCGGAAATCATCCCTTAAGGGAGTGAAAATGGGGATGAAAGTTTGTATGGGGAATCAATGTTATGAAATGCAAGAATAATTTTTATAATTTGACTGATAGTTTCTGAAATTAGGACGTTCAAACAAACAACATAGATATGGATATTTAGTTTGTAATCATTATATAAGATCAGATTTACAGAAAAGGTCAAAGGTCATACAAACTAGCTGTAAACAATTATTTAAATATAAATAAATAAAATTTATTGCAAACCTGAAAATAATGTCTACAATCTTTGCAGATCCGCAATGGGCCTGCGAGGAGTTCTGGTTATGGCGCTAAGCATCGTCGGGGCGATGGCGTTTATCCCCCATGGTTCTATTGGGGAAAAGGTTTGTACTTACATAATATATATTTATTAAAAGTTCTAAAGCAAAATATACAATGATATTATATTTTAATATTCACACTAATAAAAAAATATGTGTCTGTGACCTTGACACTAAAACGGCTGGACGAATTTGAATGCGATTTAGTACAGGCAGATTATCTCATGAAGTAACACAAAATAGGCTACTGGTAGATACGTATGCACCCGAGTGGAGCGAGGGTAAGTTGCTAGTTATGCAATAATAATAATATTTGAATATTTTATAATGAAAAAATGTATCTATAATTTGTTTTGTCGTACAGGAGCATATGCTAACCGCAGCTTTGCTTCGTGAGGTAGTCGAGCGTATGGGCAAAGACTTCAACGAAGCAGCGTCATCGTACCTCGAGTTCCCATCGAACGAGAGGCACCTAGCGTTGATGTCTCGCGCCAACAAAGACCTGGAGAACGAGCAGCTGGACTACGACTCGCTCATCGACGGCAACCCCAGCCCGAGCTTGCGCGACCAAGAGTATTTGCAGCACAGGTACTATCAATTACCTATATTTTCTATTAATCGCAGAAATATTATAAATTCGAAATGTGGATGTGTTTGTTAGTTATTCACGCACGAACAAGTGCCCAACTTTACGTTTTCAAAATATTTAACAATAACAGAATTTCATATTTAATTCAATTATTTTTTATGGATTTTAGTTGTGCTAATTGGGTACAATTTACTTCAAATTTTTATTATTATTTTATTCCAGTTCATTGTGGGGCCACCAGTACGTGACCGGTGGCGCGGGAGAGGGTGAACAGCGCCTGCAGCCATCAGGCCTTGTGCCTAACCGTCAGATGATAAAAACTGACGCAGTCCTCCCAGCTTATTGTAACCCTCCTAATCCCTGTCCAGTTGGATACACCGGTAAGAGTTTAACACTTATTTAAAATAATAATATTTAGTTAATAAGCCTACGATTTTATTATAGTGTACACTCGGCAAAAAGATTTATTAATTGACATTATTGTTTTTGAAAATTCTGGATCACGATGATGTTATAATAGTGTTTTTGTCATCTTTGGTAAATGTCTGTTTTAACGTTTAAGGGTTAATTAATATTCCAGAAGATCAAGGTTGTATCACTGACTTCGAGAATACGGCTGCCTTTAGCCGTGAGTACCAGCTCGCCCAACGTTGCATGTGTGATGGGGAGCATATGTTCAGTTGCCCTCCTGAAGGCCCCTCTGAATTAGAGATGCGGTTCCCTGATCATCATAAGAATTTGGTCGCCAAAAAATATAAGGACGACGTTAGTATTAACTAAATTAAAATTTACTTCAATAATAGGTTTATAGGAAAACTCTTCTGTGGCTTATTTACTATCTTTCAAGAAAACATTAATTTTTATGCGTAATATTTGAATTATTGATTTTTTCTTGTTTTCAGGACAAAGTCAGATTGTTCTTCGAAAATAAAAAATGTGTACATAGGAATTACGATAAGTGTCTCATACTTAACACGGTTTTTGAAGTATTAACTATACTTAGTGGCGTTCTGTACCCAATATTAGCAGCAACCGCTCATCTTTATCATGATTAAATAATATTATATACATATTGCTAAAACATTTAAAATGAAATCATATCATGTGTCCCGATCCAATGTTCAAGTAAATAAAAAAAAGATAAAAAATAATATATGTTGTAGAAAATACTGAATAGGTAACAAAAATCTAAGTGTTGGTAACAAAAAAAATAATTATAATTTTAGGTGGAAAACCCGTATCTACTAGGTGAACGCCTACCTATAGCTGCCAAAAAAGGATTCGACGTTCACGTCTTTTAAATGTTACCTTACAAGTAGTCTTACATTACGTATTAGATTTTACCAAATGTCTTAAAGATGATAGTATATATTTGTGTAAACTTTTTTCTAATATCCATTGCAACCTCATGTGGTAATGAAAGGCCTTTCAATTTGCAAAGGAAAGTAAAAAAATCTAATGACAAGGTATCACTTTATCTTCTTTTTCATTATGTCTTTTAAACCACTGACCAACAAAATAATTATTTGCTTTATTTATTTAGTATTAGGACGCTTAACTCTTATGAAGCATAAAAAATATAGTTCTTCAGTTTTATTATTGAACGTTTTTGATAATGATGTAAAAGCTGTGACTTTTGTTAGTTGTAGTATAGGTGAAATATATTATTGATTTTTTTACTAGTCTAATTATGATAAACTAGCAGAACCCGCGGCTTCGCTCGCGCCAAAACTACAGAAAAAGCGCTAAAAAGTAGGTTTCATACAAACTTTAATCGCCTATTTTATCCTCTTAGAGATTGAATTTTGGAAAACGCTGAAATACGTAACTCATTTTTTTTGCCGTACTCCATTCTTACGAAATTTCATGCAAATATGTCCAAGGAATAAAAAATTTCATACAAACTTTTATCCCCTATTTCACCACCTTGGGGGTTGAATTTAAAAAATCCTTTCTTAGTGGATGCCCTCGTCAGAAGAATACGTGTTGTAATTTCAATTTTCTAGCCTTAAGGGTTTGGCCTGTTCAATCACTGTTGCCTTTTATATATATATATATAGATATTGGATACAATACGCGCTCTATTGCATCTGTTCGTAATTATTCTCCCTAAATGTCTGGATTGATTTTAACGAAATTTCTTTTGTATACTTATGGTGTCATCTGGATGTTTCTCGACTATAGTCGGACCTGGTAGGTAACGCTATTGTCGAGATCCAGATTTTTTTAGATCACAAATAAAACTGAAATACGGGCACTACAGCGTTTGTCGGGGTAGCTAGAATAAAAAAATGTTGTTCAATCAATTTTATCATCGAAAGAAAAGTCAATAATATATTTCTAGCATACAAATTAATTGTAAATATACAAACTATAATGCACTAAAACGGACGATGTTAAAACGAGCAAGGCAAAATAATTAATACAAAAAATCGCGGGAGAAAAAGTATAATGTACAGGGCATCTGAATTAAACCCCGCTCTCATTGAGTTGAGAATTAGATGTGTAATATAGATAATAATAAGTAAGAGTGAAAAGTTAATGCCATCACTAAAATATTATACAAAACTTAAGAAGAATTTCACGAAATATTCTAAAAAAATAAGACGGATAATATGCATTTATACAATGACAGGACTGAGTGTAGAGAGGTGGCGAAGTAGCGATGGTGATATATTGTCACACCATGATTCAAATATTAAGGGCGTAAACAATCTGTGAACAGATGAAGGAGTAACAACGAGATTATACTCCCTTATCTGTTTTGACAGAAAAGACTAAAACCAGAAAGACAAGGTGATCAGAATTTGGATGCTGTCTTTGACAACATTCAGTATAAATTAAATAATTACTGAGTTTATTTAAACGTTTCTTATTAGAACTCTGCCAATTGTCTTTCGTAGGGCTGGAAGGCATTTGTGAAGTACCCAATAAAATATGTATGTTCTACTTAAATATCTATTTAATTTACGTACTTATAAATAAATAAAAAGATCTAAATTTAAAATTGTATGAAGACAATGTTATCGATCGAACTACTTTTTCATTTTATTTGTTAATTATTTTTATAATATAATACAAAAATATTTACTTATCGAAAAACAAAATGATGAGTGAATAACTCGGAGTCGAGGGATATCATTCTAAGCGTGCGTAAGCATAATTATCTATCCTATTTTAGTGATGGTACTAACATAGTAAATTATTAACATAATAATTAAAATTATTATAATTTATTATAATAAATTCCAATAATTATTTAAAAAAATGATAAAGTACAATTTATGAAAACATTATTAATAAAAATATGTAGGTTTTTTTATTTTAGTTCAGCTTTTGTAATGAAACATAAAAATGGCAGCATTGAAATATTCTTAATCTATTAAAACATTAGTTGGCGAAGTAGCGATGATGTATGGGTGATACATTATCACACCATGATTCAAATATTAAGGGCGTAAACAATCTGTGAACAGATGAAGGAGTAACAACGAGATTATACTCCCTTATCTGTTTTGACAGTTGGAAATGTAGTGGAGGAATACTATATCAGAAAAGACTTAAGCCAGAAAGACAAGGTGATCATGAACTTAGAATCTGTCTTTGACAACATTCAGCATAAATTAATTAACTACTGAGTTGCTGTTGATATTTCTTATAGGAATTATCCAATTGTCTTTCGTAGGGCTGGAAGATATTTGGGAAGTATCTATTATTTTTTTTACTTAAATACCTATAAAATAAAAAAAAGGATTTAAATTTAATATTGTATCTATAAAAACATGTTTATCGATCGAACTACTTTTTTATTTTATTTGTTTATTTACAAGTTAATATTTTTGTATATTATGAAAATATTTAAAAATATTAACTTATCGATAAATAAACAATGTTGATAAAAATATAGGTTTTTTCTTATTTTAGTTCAAATTTTATAATGAAACGAGTAAATGGCAGCATTTCAATATTCTAGTATTAAAACATTAGCATTAAGACGAAATGTACATTTGAATGACGATCTATAAAAAGTAGCACTTCGAATAGTCTGTAAATACGTAGTATACAAATTTATATATTTGTCGGCATTATAGGAGCTACAGTATTATTAAAACTGTAGTGAGTGCACTAAAACAAGCTTAGTAATTTAAAATTAAACATCAAAAGATAGCGGCATAGATTATCAGTTAAGCATTACCAAGTAAAATTCATAATGAATAAGAGAACAAATCAACCTCATAACCAGTTAAGACAACAAACACTAATCGTGAATAATGCTAACAAACATGCCTGAACTGAAATGAAAGGGGAAAATTTTCAAGATATGGTATGGAAAAACTAAAACAATAATGTTAAAATTAATTTATTTTGTCGTGGGAATGAAAATTGGATTCATAATGGTATTTTAGAGATTGTTTACAAATAAGTGGGTATTTTAAAGTAAGTATAAGCGTTCTGGTAAACCCTCTTTCGGTTTTTTGCCATAAACAAACTGCTTGTTTAATCAAAGAAACGAACTGTTTCATCAAAATAGATTCTAAGATATAAGTAATCGAGTAACAAACATCCAACATTAAATATCTTCACAGACTTTTAAATTTACAATATTGGTATAATTCAAAAACTACAAAAAATATTGACATTAAAAAATAAGTTCTTTTAATACATGCAAAAGTTTTAAATAAATGTATCTTTTCGGATTTTTTTACGGATTTATTTTAATTTTTGGTTCCCGACGCCGCTGTAAACAACTCGAAACGGGAACCGAAAATCAAAATAATTCCGCGAAGAAATCCGAAAAGCTAGTTTTACTTAAAATGTCAAATATTCGCGTCAATCTAGGAAAGTATTATATGCAAAAGTTATTTTATTTTTAGTAATAAAAAAATAAACAAAATTTTGAGATACATAAAAAGAATAGTCTACTTTTTGCTGCAGGCTGAAAAAAGGTTTGAAGCAGCTTGAATTAATACTTTCCATCATATTTTAATATCGATTTAAGCTAAATTCATAACATGAATGGAAATAATTTTAATATCGAGTCGGTTATATTGTTTCAGGGATGTTTATTAGCTTTGATTACAAGTGAAATAATAGAATACGGGTACTCTAAAGTATATGCGAAATATAAGTTAAATTAACATTCCCAAAGGTCTTCCTTAGTATTTTAAATATTAAATTAATAATAATTCATTAACACTATCGTTATATTATTATAATAATATATTATTTATAAATATAAATTAAGTTTTTACTAGGTATGTATTTACAAGATTTTGTTAATTTTATTTTTTTAAATAATTTGACTCTCCATATTTTTTTAATACAATTTTCTTGCAATTCTGAAAATATCTTCTTTAATTCTATCTCTTTAGATTGTATAATTTTTTTTAATAAAATTAAATTCTCTTTTTTATAACTTTTCTTAGTTGTTTTTTGTACTTTTTTTTCATTAATTTTAGAGTAAAAAGTCACTTTACTAATACTAAGTTTAAAAATTATTCCTAAGTAAATTAGATTAGATAAACCCTTGTGATATAATAGGAATGATAGTATTAATTAGAGAATATATTTGTATATATTACTCCAAAAAAGGATGATGTCTAGTCAAACACAGTAGCCTGTACATAATTTGTTAGATCATAAATATTATATTTTTTAAACTCTAAATAAAGTTTTCTGAGTTTGTAAATAAAAAAATGATCTCAAAAGTCACAATAATGAAGTAGATGTAGATTTTATTACAGAAAGCTCGTCAATTCTCTACATGCCTTAAAATAATTGATACCTTAAAATAATTTATTATATTAATTTCATTACTTTGATATTAAGTAGTTATATAAATTGAAAGTTATATAAATTTAACTATATTATATTATAATTTTTTTTCTACATATATATTTATATTTTATTCTTTTTATTTTAAATTATATTATCTAAGTTACTCTAGTATTTTTTAATCTATAATCTTTAATGTGTCGTTTTGTAGAAGAATTGACGATGCTGCATTTTTTTTTCATCTCTTATCACTTCACGCAATATTCCTCTCCTTTTA